TTGACGCACCGATGGCTTCTCGCTTTGGCAATTGGCTGCAGGCATGGATTCGACCTGCAGCATCGAATTATTTTACTCTGGTCGGCGCCGGGCTCGTTTTACTCACAGCCATTTATACGCTAGTATGTGAAACTACCACTGGGTTGACAGCTTTATGCAGCTACTTATTCGCCACGAACAGGCCCTCATAAGACGAAAAGATAAAGGTACAGACGGGAACAATAAGATCCAAACAAGGCACGAGAAAGTGTCTTTTGGCCCCGATGCCGTCGACTTGACCATCGAGCCTTTGCGTGACTTTGACTGGAAAGCGAAGGAGCCTACCAAATATCTGCCTATCAAGCCGGTATATCACATTACCATGGGTAAGTTCAGCCTTCACAAGCCTAAACTCGAGAGGACATGTATTGAGAAGATGTCGCCTTCTGACAAAATATAGGTCTTCAGCAAGATACCCCTTCTAACCTCATCACCATTGACAAAGACTATCTTGACAGAGTCACCCACCGTCGCCATTTAATTGAGGAAAAGGGGTCCGCAGTTCACGGACACCTCCCTCGTGGCAAAGAATCTGTGTCTGAGTTGTACACTTATCTCCTCCGTGAATACCTACCTGTCCGCTATCCAACCATGTTCAGACTATCTTCCGATGCGTCTATTTTTGAGAACCTTGTCACAGGAGCATCCTTCCCCGTCAATGCACCCTCAGACATCAACGCCGCACTTCGCGCACTAGGCGAGTCCGTAGAAGAAGACATATTTCTCCTGCACGAGACTCCAGAAGGTCATCTCTGTGTGGCGTTCATGTGTTGCTTCCCTGCGGGCTTCGATCCATCTGTCAAGTTTGGGAACCTGCTCAAAGACATTCATGCTCCGGTGCCGTCATATGACAAAATCGGGTCAAGTATGGAGAGGTTCTTTAGCAAGCTGCAAGTAGGGAAGAGCGTTAAGCGGCTGAATGTGCGTAATTTCTTCTTTCTTGTTTTATTTTCTTCGTTGCCATGTTTCTCGATATATGTTTGCCACATAACCTGCTCACAAATCTTCAAACAGTGGTCATTTCAGACGCATAATGAGCTGTACACACTCGGGAACCACATCAAAGACGAAAGCGCCGAGGTTACAACTGACAGCAGTATAGACGCAGACAACGTACGTAAGCCAGTCTGAGGCACCTTCATCAAATTTGGGGGTTTTTTTTTTTTCGTCAATGCCTAACTCTCTCGCTTGGTCCTAGACTTTTCTCCGCGTCGAGCTACAAACCTTGACGCGATTGCCCAATACGCAGGCCGTCTTGTTCTCGTTCAAGACGTACTTGTACAGCGCTCGACAAGTGAAAGAGGATGGGTCAGGGCCAGAGCTAGCAGATGCGATCGAGGGATTAAAATTGGGCAATGCTCCGGGGATGTGGCGGTACAAATCCGCCGTTCGATGGGGCAAGCCGGTGTGCGAATATTTGCGATCATGATGCCGACTACTGTTGACTTTGTGAGGGTGAGCATGAGGGTTTTTCTTAAGTGCCGATAAGAACCTATGACAAGTGAACATTGAGCAATAATATCATACTATTATACCACCTTTGCGCCATCTCGCATCGTGGTGAAGGCAGTGGCGTGCAAGACCACTCTTCATACGCATTATATCCTAGAGCAACCATTTACAGAAGCTCTTCGAGAGAAACTTGAAGTCGCATACATAGCGTGAAAATAGGAGATCGAGATACCGGACTAGGGTATGGCTATTTTTTTCTAGATCGTTTGACTGCCTGTAAAGCTCAAGGGTCTTACCCCATCACCAAACTACCGAGTTTGCAACGTCGGTAGGTTCACAGCTTAAACTTGACAGCAACACGTGACAAGGCTGCAGCGAGACATGGCTTCAATTCAAACTTCTGATTGGCTGCACTATTTCAATGTGTGGCGCGCGCTGTGGCTCGAGCCCGCTGTCTGCACACGCTACCTGGCTAACCCCACGCTGAGGAGTACTTTTCCTGCTCGGTAGTAACTCGGTCTGGCGGCCACAGCTACCAGCGTGCTGCCGTCACACGCCTGAAATAAGGTACCATCACGCGCCAACTGGTACTTGCACTGAATAGCCTCGCGAACCCCCCCCCCTACCAAATCCCAGCCACAAATGATTGCATCGCATTTGATTCGATTTGATCCTCGTTCGGCAGCCCACGACCGTCGCCCTCGTGAACAGCCGCTTCCGCTTCCGCTTCCCACTTGCACGTCCACCAACGACGACACGGGACACGCTCCAGCCAACATCGCTTGCTTGCACATCACCGGCGCGCACAACCCCCTCCATCCCATCTTGGCTACTTACTTGTAAGCCTATCCTCTATTTAATATTCCTCCCTGGGTTCGCCTGCAGCTCTATCCTACGGCTCGACCAAGTGCCGCATCGCGATACCCACACAAACGCTTTCGGAGCCGCTTAAACCTTGTCTTGCCGCATCTCGAGGACCGCCCGCACGTGCAAACCTAGTGTTTTTGCATCTATCACCATCTATCCAACTTGTCTTGCCATTAGAAGCCTACATCTATACCTTGGGTCATATCCGCCGAGTATTGCGGCCCTCGCCTCCTGTGTCTGCGTTACGGTCGTTGCGACAGGCTATGCACTAGGACGGTTGATGCCTCACGATTTGCATTTGTGTTTTTGTGCCGTATATATACATATATACCCGCGACTGCTATTAATCATTCCCCTTCGTCTCATTGTCTCGGGTTGTTCTAGTTGGCATTAGCATCATGTCCGCTCCTCGTATGTATAATTTCCTCGTCTCCTAGAGCGAAAGGTGCCAGCAGTAACACGGCCACAGTGGCTTCTGACGAGCGACAACGCTACACCGATATAATCGACAATATTCTGGCTACTGCGGACCTCGAGACCATCTCTCGCAAGAAGGTCCGACAAGCATTGGAGTCTCGGCTAGGTGGCAAAGACTTGGCTGAACAGAAGGTATGGGACCGCCGTATAGAAACCTGTTTGGTCTTTTAGGAAACGAGGACAGCCATCAGCGTGCTGACGATTTGTAGGATGCCATCAAACGCCTAATCGAGGCACGTTTCGACGCAGTCTCTGGGGCCAGCCCTGATGAGGCCCCTACACCATTTGTTCCCAAGCCATCCCCGCAAAAACGGACCAACGGAGTTTCTGACTACGATGACACCGACCCATCTGCCTCTCCTGAACCCGCAAAGAAGAAGACGAAACGGTCGTCCTCATCTGAAGATGCGGACGCGCGCCTTGCTGCACAGCTCCAAGCGCAGGAGAACAGTCTGGCCCGCGGCCGAACCACGCGAGGGGGTGGTGATCGAGCCACAAAAAAGCGCAAGGCGCCACGAAAGAAGAGTGCCAAAAAGGTTCGAGACGATGACGATAGCGAGGTCGATGCTAGCGGAGACTCAGGTGTAAAGAAGCGCAAGGCCGGCGGCGGCTTCCAAAAGCCCTTCAACCTAAGCTCACAACTGTCCGATCTTGTTGGGGTAACTCAGGTGAGCCCATCGTAATCTCCTTGGTCCCCGTGCCCAGGTTGTAGCCATGGTCATGATCACTAACAAGCCTCTCAGCTCTCCCGACCTCAAGTTGTCAAGCGCTTGTGGGAGCATATCAAGGCCAACGAACTGCAAGATCCAGCCGACAAGCGCCAAATTCTCTGTGACGCGAAAATGCAGGCTGTTTTCAAGCAGACCAGAGTTGACATGTTCAAAATGAACAAGGACATTGGCAGCCACCTGTACCCCGTGGAAGAGACGTAGTTTCAACCTTCGGCGGAGGTCATTTTTGTTGCCTCGCAAGTAAAGTAACCAACCACTACAAAACAGACAAACAGATAATATTTCACGGTTTATCGGCGCCCAGGGGAGTAATCGGGGTAAATTTGCTTATTTAGGACTCAATTCCCTGTGTACCTTTGTTCTCTTTTCCGTTATCGCTTTTCTTTTATCGCAGTCCCGATGTCTCCAGCATTCCCAGCTCCGGAGCTACAGTACATTCTTGACCACAGCGAAGCATCACTACTAGTGTCCTCT